CATTGCTTCAACCGGTCGACACCTAGCACAGCCATTTCTTAAAAGGTTATATGTAACTATTTTTGGTAGTTTCTTTCTATAAGGGATTAAAAAAACCTGGCCTTTTGAGGGAATGGTACAAAAGCATTTGTTGGTAGCTTCGTTATACAACACCGAAATCACTAGTTCGCCCAGGAACAACAAAATGGTGGATCATTTTTAGCGCGTAGGTCACCAAATAGCAACCAGGCACGCACCCCTCCCCGCCGCGTACACCTGGGCCAGCTCAACCTACACCTTTCTTGGTTTAGGAAGGTTCTAGAACCTTCGCAGACCGGTTTCCTTTTTTTCCTTTTTTCAGTTTTATTCTTTCCTTTCTTTTTTTTCATTTTTGTTTCACCTTCTTTTATGATTTTAGTTTTTATTTTCATGTTCATTTTTCATTATCATTTTTCTTTATTTTTTGTTTTTATGTTTGCCCTTTTATTTTACTTTTCTTTTAATTTTTCGTACACCTTTCAAATTCATTACATTTTTGGAAATTATGATTTTTATGAATTTGCAGACATTTTTTTGAAATCCTGATGTTTTTTCGGAATTATGATCATTATTTTACAAATTCACAAATATTTGAACATTTTTTAAACAGCAATTATTTTGAGTCGATGATCATTTTTTTAAATTTGGGAACTCAAAAACAATCTCTGAATCTTGTGCACATATAGAAAAATTCATTAACATTTTCTGAATTCGTGAAAATTTTGTTCATATTTGAACATGTTTTGAATACATGAACTTTTCCTAAATCACTACACTTTGGTTATTTTCCGCGCATTTTTCCCAATTTTTGAATATGTGAACTTTGTTTTAAAATAATGGACACCTTTCTCGCTTTCGTCGAAGTAGGCGAAAAAAGAATGAAGGCCGGCTTGGTCAACATGGACTGTGGCTTGCATGATTGGCCTGGCCCAATTAAACGGAAGCCGATAGTAGGGCTCAAAAACAAAAACATTAAACGGAAGGCGACGTTTCGGCCTGCGATTTTCCTTCCGTCGTCCCCAATTTAACGGCCGCCGCCCCACAAAAAGCATTTGGATTTAATAAACTCTTTTTACAAATGAAATCCTAAAAAAGATTTTTTAGATCAAGTAAAAAAATACACAGTTGGTCATATAATCGTGGTTATATAGATATTTTCTATACTAGCCTCTTTACCCTCAGTATAAGATGGTTAAACCGAACTGAAACCGGGTGGAAAGCAAATCGACTCGGCGGACAATGCATGGCAAGCGTGATCGCCGCATCGCCGATCGTAATTCTCCTGGCTCCACGGAGCAGAAGCAGGATATATGCGTTCTGCTTGATCACATCCATGGGTTCTACAAGGCGGCGCTCGATCGGCTTCCGATGGGAGCGGTTCCCTCGCTGGCCCCGCGCCTCCTCAAGGCCGGCATGCCCTTCGGATTCCTCGACCCGGTCTCCAACATCATCGCCAACACCGTCGCCTACGCCCCTTCACCGTCGCCTGGATCTGATGACGAGGATGAGGAGGAGGCGCCGGCGCCGGAGTGGATCCTCTCCAAGATCATCACCGACACAAGCGACAGATTCGTCTTCGAACTACCGCTTTGCCGGCACAGGTCCCATGGCATGACCATCGCGCGGCGGTCGCTGGACGGTCTTGTCAACTTCCTCACCACCCGCTTCCCCTATCTGTATGCTAGGGAAGCCCTCAGCTACCTGCTCCTGAGCAGGGCCGACCATCGCGCCGCCGTGCGCCTCATCGAGCGAGATCGTAACAAGCGGCGCAGCGCGTCGACCATCACCTACCGTACCACCATGGTCGCCTTGGAATGTGCCGCCGTGTGTGCGAGGCATCCTAAACCGAATGTCCTGGTGAAAGTGTCGCTGATTACGGCCTCTCGCCTGTCCGATGTCACTACGCTTCTTGCCGGACAAGACCCTCTCTCGCGTGCAACCCTCGAGAGCCTTGCCGATTTGCTCAAGCAAGAGCCTGCGAGCATGGATGATCCCACCATGTTATCACTGGATCATCTTTGTGGCAAGGAGAAGAAGAAGAATAAGAAGAGGAAGAGAAGCCAGCAGACATCAGAATCCATAGAGGGGAGTAGGCCACATAAGAGGAGGCTTGGGCCTCAGTTGACATTCAGATCCACACTGTCTCTGAAGCTGCTGCTCCTCGGCAAGATCCATGCTCACTACTTACGGGCACTTGCCAAGCTGCCTCGGGATGGCCTGCGCAAGCGTCACCACTGCAGCCTCCTCAAGGGTGGGTATTGCTATGGCCCCAGGGATCCTGTCTCCAACATCATCCTCAACACCATCTGGTACGGCTCTATGTTCCCTACGCCCCAGAAGTTCGAGCTGCAATTCAAGGTGGACATGATATGAACACGCATGCTTGCACGCATCGAGTGCTGCTGTTTTTACGGCCTCGTTACCTTCCTTCGAGCCTGCGCTCCCACCATTACGGAGCACGACGCTATCTGGTATCTTTTCAGGAGCGACGCCAATGTCCACAAGGCCATCCGCAAGTTAAAGAAGCGTGGTCATGCTGTGTGTGACAATTACCAGGACGCCTATAGGCAAGCGGCGGTTGTCTCATGGCATGTCGACCCTGACGCGCTGGTGAAATTTGCCACGTCTTCCTTGAGCATGGAGTCTGACAAGCTGCCAGCTATTTTACGGGGCACGCTCACCAACGATTGCAGTTGAATGCCTCGCCATGGCTCTGCCACATAACAAGTCCGAGGAGCAAACTCAGCAACTGAACCGGGTGACCTCAAGCTCACATGTCTTGAGCAAAAAACAGAAGAGGTTCATTTCAGAGTTCCAGAAAAAATTTAGGCGCGACAAAAACTTCTTTGTCAAAAAGGTCAAGGCGGCATTGAGCGGCTACTGTCGGCAAAAAGGGGATGGTGCATTTGCCTCTATTTTTCGTTTTATTGCTTCTGAATTCTAACATGCATCAATTTGTCTTCCATATGCTAAAATTCTTTTTTTTCCACTGATGGGCTGCCCTCTTCTGCATTGTTACGTACAGGTTCACTATAAACTTCATACCATTTGCGGTGTGAATCCTAGAGTACCTGACGGGCCAAGTGTTGCTCTCTATAAGAAGAGGTTCCAATTTGAGTACTTCCATGTCAATTTCTTGGCAACCACTAATGGACCAAATTCCGCTGTCACAGCTCCAGAACTGTTCTTCGCTCAATGTAGCAATAGTGTTAAAGTTATGCGGGACAGACCATCCTGGTGCACCCCTGTATCAGATTCTTGCATAGATAATGGTATGCTCTCAGCTCTGTATCTCGTGGAAATTTCATTATGTCATTGTTTTCGAGCTATTGACAAGATTCAAAAAGACGGTATTGGGTGCTTGCTTTGGTTATCAATATGTTGTGGATCCTTTTTCTGACTTATAAGTGATACTGCTAAGTTGAGTGGCTTATTTCTTCGGTGGTTCCAAATTAATTGCACACTGAAATTAATTGCACCATGACAGAAGATTTTATTTATTTCGATCCCAATACAGACTCAAAGATTGCAGAGATGAATCCTGTTTCTAATGTGGCTAGGGAGTTGAGAGAATGGAAGGGTAGAATCTTTTGATATGATTCTGCTTTGTATGATGGGACATAATGTACTACATGAGAATATGTGACTGTACTACGCAATGTATAGCAGACAGCAAAATTTTGTTCTGAAAGTCATCCTTGTTGTCAAACAGGGCAACTGAATAATGCCTTGCTTGTGAGGAGCACCACATTAACGGACTAAGGTTTCCAAGAACCAAGAATAAAAAAGTGTATGATTCCAACAAGACTACTATGCCAGTTCAACTTCAGTAAGGAAAACTATGTCACTTCGACCTACTTCCTAGATTCAACTATGGTGCAATAATTATTACTCCTTCCGTCCTATAATATAAGAACGTTTTTGACACTAAGATAGTGTCAAAAATGTTTTTATATTATGGGACAGAGGGAGTGGAAGATTTATCAGCAATTTGCATCATGGTCCCGTCCCTCGCGTCGCCCTAAGGGCGACTCGGGGGAGTCTAGGGTTTTCCCCCGCCGCCTCTCCCCACCTCCCCACCCCCCTCGCCACCACCGGAGACGAACGCCGGGAAAGCCCGCGCGGGCGCCGGGGAAGGTGGCGGTGGGATCTTCGGCGCTTCTTCGCGAAGGCCATCGGTGTCGGATTTCGGGTTCCGGCAGACCCTTGAGGTTCGAACACTGGAGTGCGCGCGGAGATCTCTCCCCTACCGATCTACGTCCAATCTCCTCGCGTGATCTAAGCTGGAAACAACGAACGACACAAGGGACACGAGGTTTATACTGGTTCGGGCCACCGTTGTGGTGTAATACCCTACTCCAGTGTGTGGTGTGGTGGATTGCCTCAAGGGCCTGATGATGAACAGTACAAAGGAAGAACAGCCTCGCGAGAGGTGTTCTTGAGCTGGTGCGATGAACTGCTAGGGTGAGTTCAATCGCCTCTCTCCCTCTCTACTAGGGTTCTACTAGATCTCTGGCCGTTTTTTCCGTGTCTCTACTCTGTGGTGGCTAGCTCTATTTATAGAGGCCCTAGGCCTCTCACCAAATAATGAGCGGGAAGGGCATCAACAATTAGCCATTTTGAAGGGGAACATATAGTACAAGTTATCCTGACCAAAGGTGGTCTTCGGCTGCCAAAAGCACTGGTGATGACGCCGTCTTGGGCTCCACGGTGACCTCTGTCCTGCCGCTCTGCTGGTCTTGGTCTTGTTGCACCGGAATGGTAACTTTTGCCCGATGCCTCGGCCTGTGCTTGCCCCCTTTGCACCAAAGGGGAAACAAGGACACTGCGCAGGCCGGCGCCCGCCTGGCGCCCGCCTGGTCTCGATCATCATGGCTTGCGTCACGGGTTCCTCGCGAGGTATCCCCGCCTTGATCTCTCCGCCTCCTCGCGAGCCTGCCTGACGAGGCTGCCTCTGAGGAAGCTTCCTGTCGTCCGCCCCGCGAGGCTTGGCCCCTCAGGAGGGTCTTGAGCTTGAGCTGATGAAGATGGGCCGCGCTGGGCCCCCACTTGAGCCACGCCGCAGGCCACAGGCAGGCAAGTCTGGGGACCCCCGTTCCCAGAACGTCGACAGTAGCCCCCGGGCCCAAGGCACGCCCGGGCTTGGCCTAGCAGAAAAGCGAAGGGGCAAGCATGAAGCGCCACGGGCCCAACAGCCTGCGGCCTTGGGCACCGCGTGTCGATTGATTGGACGTGGGCGTATGCGCTCCCCACGACGCCTCGGCAACTGCACGACTTGACAAGTCCCTGCATGCAGAGAAAACGGTCATGATTACCTGCGATCGTGGTGCTCGGCGGTTGGCCTCCTCCGGCTATAAGTACGGTGTTGGGCGAGCCCCTTCAGTCCATCCCTTCCTGCTGCTCCTTCCCTTTTTTTTCCTTGTTCTTGCTTCTCCTCACGCCAATGGCACCAATCCGCCGGTTCTTTACAGAGGAGAAAGGAAAGGCCCCCCGAGAGGGTCCTGACCCACTTCAGCCAAAGAAGCGGCTGGTCCTCCGCCACCGAGATGAGGGTGCTCAGCAGGAGGCACCGAGGCCCTGGTACGAGCGGCCGCCGCCTGGGTATCCGCTACCCTTGTACGTCCGCGTCATAGGTCCTGCGGGAGAAGGCGTCGAGCAACATCGACGGTGCCGCCATCGACACCGGCGAGTCACGGTGGTGCGCTCGTTCCTCCTGGAGTCCACGCCGAACGCTCCTCTCGCGAACTCGTGCTCCACGCCGCCATGCCTCCAAGCTCTTGGATTCGCCTTGCTCCTTCCTTCGCCTTCGAGATGCCGCCGAGCGGGGCTCTGGAGCTCTGGCTGCAGCACGCTGACTGCAGCACCCTTGCAACCGGAGCGGAGGTCGCGGTCGTTGCTCCGGGCAAGGTCTTCATGACCCGGGGCTGGGGCGAAATCGCCCGGGTCTGCCGGATGGTAGGCGTCCTCGTAATTCATCTTGAATATGACGGCGCCTCCCTGATGCTCTTCAAGGTCTTCGATGCTGAAGGACGCCGGCTGGAGTGCTGCCCCAGGGAGAGCGGCAGGGGCGATGACCCGGCGAGGACCTGGCCTGCCCATCGGCCCTCCAGCAGCTCCTCAGGCAGCAGCGGAGGAGCTGGGGAATTCAGTGGCTCCCTCGAGATCCTCGCGACTCTGGAGACGAGCGACGACAGCTACGAGCCCCCGAGCTCGCGCGGTGCTCGGAGCGGGGCAGCTGCGTCCAGCCGCCGGCGCCACTGATCTAGATGGGGTTGGTGTCGACGTTGGGCAGCCCACTGTTGATGATGGCGTCCCTGGCGGCGGTGTGGGCGATTAGTGTTCCTTAGGATTAGAACTCTTGCTCCCTACGAGGAATCGAAGCAACACCCCGTGGGGGTATGTAAGGCGTCTGCCATGTCTTTTATGAATATTATATCCTTAATATGAATCAATGCGAGGTGCTTGTCCTGTCTCAGCTCGGCTCCCTCTTTCTATCCTCGCGAGGACTTGGCGCTCTACGCTGACAGGTCCCAGTCCCCAGGCGGGCTTCAGCCGTCGCTGGTATGCCAGGTCGCGATGCCGTGGTCAAGGCCAGGAGGTGAGCGGCCCGAGGTCCGGTAAGAGCCCCCGACTCGCGATGCTCGGGAGGTCCCCTTTAGCGCTCAAGCAGCCCTCGTTGGGCGAGAAAGGAAGGTAACGTCGCCGTGACAGAGCCGCACTGGGCGAGGGTTTTGCGCTGCGTTGGTCCAATTCTTGTAAAGGCGTGACTTATCTCTTGAGTTAGGTGTAGTTCCTCGATAAAGCGCCTGGCCCGAGCGGTGGCAGTTGAGGCGCTGCTGGGTTAGGTCCTCGCGAGCTTCTTCCCACTCCCCCGCACTTTCCTTAATGCTCTACGTCCTCAGGTCGCGGCCCTCGAGCGAGCTCAGCCGCCGCTGGTATGACAGGTCGCGATGCCGTGGGTCAAGGCCAGGGGGTGAGGGCTAGAGAGCCAGTAGGAGTCCATGAGTCGTGATGCTCAGGTACCCCCCCTTTTAACGTGCAAGCGGTCCGTGCCGGAGAGAGGGAGAGACAGCTCGCGATGTCCCTAGCGTTGCTCCTGGAGTAGGTCCTGCACACCAGTCATAAAGAGAAACAAGACCTGTTGTTATGGTCACCAGCCAACCTTTGGTCGCTTCGGGGTAGTGATTGGGGCACTGAGGGCCTGGTGAGGTGGCGCCTTGCGGGGCTGCCGCGGCCAGAGCTCGACCACTTAGATTTTTCGGCGTTGCAGGGACGGACCCGTGCGCAGATGTCGTGCCAGAGCGAGCGGCTCTATAGGTAGGCGCCAATCGAGCAGGCGATTAGGTTGGGTATGTTAAGCACGCAGGAGGAAA